TATGGGAAATAGGATAGCACCTACTGTAGGTATCTATTTCCCATAGAAGTCATTAGGGCAAGTTTATTAGCCCATCATGGTTGTAAATAATGAATTCAATTCAATATTTGGGATTACCTGCGGTTTAAATTGGTACTGATCTTAGTCTAATGTTTCCAATTTCAGGAATTGAAACACATTATTATATGCCTCTGCCAGCATGCAAAATGTTAATCTTGATAGATTACATTAATCTTTATAAGGAGCACTTTTTTTCTCTACTTATATTTCAGGATCTTAACTCCTCAACATAAGGATGTTTTAGCTCTTTATATTGAGAAGACTGCACATTTATTTTAATTGGATAACTGAGCTTTTCTGCTTACTGAGCTGTCTGCCTGACATTTGCAAAATGCAGCTTTTTTCCCCTCAACATAACCTAACTGTTCATTTTATAAGGCCTGTCATCCAAAATGCAGAACCTAATCCTTAATTAGTTGTCGTATTTGTTTAGTTGTTATACATCATCCACTAGACTGAACTGTTTGGTTTACTGTCCTTTCATAAAGTCCATTAAATGATTATTTTTGCATTCACTTATGTTTTATTTAACAGTTTTTCTGTGTCCTGAACTCCTGGCTTAAGGCCTTTTGTTAAAGAATAGAATCAATAAATTGGTCAGGAATGCAGGCTGCCCAAGCAGTGCATGGGTAAATCACAGATAACGGAAAGCAAATAAAACCCACTCAAAAGCAGGGTGGAGAAGCAGTCTGAAGTGCTGTAGTACCCTAAACACAATGAGGTTTTTTCCAGTTTTGATTTTTCAGCTGTAAATCTCTTTTGGAATCAGGGATCTACAAGACAACGTCTCTCATGGGAAAGTGAAGGGACACTTCACTGCCATCCAGTCCCTGTAAAGCAAGCAATGGGGTCATGGAGGAATGTTTTTTTTCACTCTGACTGATGTGGAACAGGGACTGGAATCCAGGGCAGAGTCCAACCAACACACTATAGATAACCAACACATTAAATGTTCTTAATGACTAATTATTTAAATAAAATGGGAGGTCTGTAACAGAAGAACTGAGAATGACCCGACCCAATATATACATGGCAGCCACATACAGAAAAAAAAAATCCTGTGCTAGAGTTGAGCCAAGAGGAGATTTTTTAAACTATCATCTCCCACATTTATTTGTGAGTGCTTTGAACATGGTTTCAGTGGGCAACACAATTACCCCTACCTACACTTTCACCCACAACTCTTAATCTTAGGACCCCTACCTAACTGGATATTGCAAACCACATACACCAAAACTGCCTACCTTGAATGCCCTGTTTAGTACATTTAGCAGGAATCTGAAAAGTTTGACAGCATCTACTATAGAGACCTAAACAACAGCTGAACAGGAGCTCCTGGCCCTGAATACTGCCTGATTGGGCACCTAAACTGACACTAATGCTTCCCGGTACCTTCATGTATCTGCTCTTTGCAAATGGGTAACCCACAAATCTCATTGGTTTGCTGCATAGCAGGGGGTGTGTCCTAGTCAACTAAAGGCAGTGGTGAAATGCTCAGGAAGTCACATCACTGTGTCAACTGAATCACCATTGCATTTATCCTTCCTGTAGATACAAAAAATGTACCCACATAGTACAATACAAACCGGCATTAAATAAAAGCTTTCTTTTCCATGAAAACAAGTACTAGCTCTTGGATCTAGAAGTACTTCTAATCTTTTTCTTCCATGTGCCAGTCTCAGTCTTACCTCATTAAAAGATTCAAGGTGATGATATATTGGCATATACTACCTAGATTTTCTTCTGATCCTAGTCTGTGTCTATTGTGCTTTCTGTGAAGTGCTGCAAGACAATTATTGGTATGCAGAGCACTAGGGAAGTGCTGGAAAGGCATAAATGTTGCCAGAGAACAATTTCGCTTTCAGACAAAAAGCAAACATCTCTACTGCTGTATGAATCAGATTACATTGTTGTAAGGACTGAAGTTCCAGTATGGAAAGACTTTGCATAAAGCTTGTGTTCTACTGAGAGGTGAAGCATATGTCCTTTAGGGATAAATGAAGCATTATGATGAACTTTCATAAGACTGGTAAGATGACTGCTTTTAATGACACTTCCCTAAATTCTTCAAAGACCTCCTCAAGTCATTGTCTCCCTTCTGATCTCACCTCCCACTCCAATCTTCCCTTCCCACTGAAACAAGGTTTCTTTTTCTTTTTTTTTTTCTCTTCTTTTTTCTTCTCTCCCCTCCACCTACAAGATGATATTTCAGCTCTACTTTAGAGAGGAAATCATTTGCACAGCCTTTTTTCCCTCATGCATCTGTACTGTAGAACTGAAAAATGTGGCAATAAGAACATGTCAAACTTTCAAAATTCACTTGAGGTAAGAAACAGTGATGTGGCACAGCAGCAATTCAAACTGAACACAAAGTTCCCAGAAAGTTAAAGGAAATAAAATTCGAGTTTAAAATCTTTACATTTTATCCAAATAGGATGCTAATAAACAACCTCAATGCCTTAAAGATTATCAAGGACAGAGTAGTACAGGACATGGTATAAAGGGATGGTTCTAAGACTTCCTAAAAAAAATCAATTTAGTCTTTGCTAGACAACTTAAGCTGTATTAGAACTTTAAATAATTGGAAACAAATGCCCTGACAATCTTACTGTATTTTCCTTTTTCTCTTTTGGTTACATGATGCTTTGCTTATTCTGTGACCAATTGTTCAATAAATACAAAGTTTTTATCCATTTAGCATCTCTTAGCTACTTAGTCAAGAAAGGAAGTATGACTGCATTAAATCATAAATAATGATACCAGATATAAGACAGATGAATCTAACCATGTGGAAATTATGTGGTGCTTCAGTTCTCTGTGTGTGTGTGTGTGTGTGTGTGTGTGTCCCACATGTATTTATCTGTTCACATGCTTCTCGCCTTCCTGCAGCCCAAATCTTACTCGGTGTTACTACCCTGGTCACTTCATCCAGCCACAGAAGGAACCACTGTTAATCCCTCATTCATGGTGTGGAGGAAAGTACACTGGTACATTTAGTGCTCGTATTTCATGTAAAGATATAAAGGAGGAATAACATGATACCTCCCTACCATGCCTAGCAAACATCACAGTTTCTTCTCTTTACCTTCCCAGAAGGATCCAAGTACTTTTTAGAGTAAAA